TCATTGTTGTTTTGGCGGCCAGGCTGGGGATTCGAACCCGCTACCTTAGGTGTATGTGGCTGGCGCCTTAGCCGCTTGAGCCACAGGCGCTGAGCCTTTTTTTGTGTGTGTGTGTGGTTAAATATTATTTATGGATCTGTTGGTGAAAGTGTTCCTGGATGAATCAACACTGAATGAGTAGACTGAAAAAGCAGATTGCTGTCCCCAATGTGAGTGGACCTACCTCATCTAATCCATTGATGGCCTGAATAGGAAGAAAGGCTAAGAAAAAATTTCTTGTCTTTGAACCTGTCTTCAAACTAGGACAACGGTCTTTTCTTGCTTTCGGATTGGACTGGAACTTATACCATCAGCTCTCCTGAGTCTGCCTTTCTCGGCCTCCATAATCATATGATCTAATTCTTTATAATAAATATTTTCTCTCTTTTTCTCTCTTTCTCTCTCTCTTAAATGATTCATTTCTCTGAAGAACCTTGAATAATAATAAGGATGTGAAGGATATGAGCTATATACTCATACTATGAAAATATCATCCAATAAATTGGGGAGACTAAAGTCAGATGAAATTATGTACAAAGGAGCTTAAGTCTTCATTAAAGAACAGGAGATAGATTTATAGAGAAACGGGGAAGACAGGTAACCTGAGTGAGGAAACAGTTAAGAAGTTATGTGGCTGGGCACCTATAGCTCAGTGGTTCGGGCACCAGCCACATACACCAGAACTGGTGGGTTCAAATCTAGCCCAGGCCTGCCAAACAACAATGACAACTACAACCAAAAATAGCCGAGCATTGTGGAGGATGCCTGTAGTCCCAACTATTTGGGAGACTGAGGCTTAAGAGAATCACTTAAGCCCAACAGTTTGAGGTTGCTGTGAGCTGTGATGTCATGGTACTCTACCAAGGGTGACACAGTGAGATTCTGTCTCAAAAAAAAAAAAAAGTTATGTACATTTGAAATGCCAGCCATTTTTTTCCAAAGGAAGAAAATCTTCTGTGCTTAACTATACAAGAAACAGAATAATGTAGAAAGACCCTATGGGTGGACAAGCAGAAGAACTAACAAACTTCCCACTGGGAAGCATGAACCGTACACTGACTTAAAACACTGTGGCTAACTCAGACCCTGAGATCAACAATGGGAATATAAAGAGGAATGGGCTTTGGTCTCAAGAAGTACGGCATCTAAACAGCCATAATCACCTGTTAAGCTTCCAGGATAAAAGACAGATAATAAAAATAGGTTTCATAAAATATGTTCTTGCTCAATAAATACATTCCAAACATATCTGCAACATATAACATATGTATAAATTTAACAAAAATGCATATCAAAAATAACTCTGCACCTGCATGGTAGATGGAGGGTCAGGTGCACGTCCTGGAGTAAGCTGCGAAGGGGCCAGAAGACTTCAAAGTGCTTCATCCTGTGAGCACATGTGCCTGCTGCCTTGATTTATTCTGAACCAAAATTAACAAGACATGGGCTACCTAGCACAGTTGGGCTACTTACCTTGGACATTAGATTTTCGAAATTTATCACAACATAAGTTATGGCTCAAAGGTCACAGAGCGCTGCTTAACATTGAATTCAAGATTAATGTTAGACCCTTCATGAAAGAATATGGAAATGTGTTACAGGGATTCAGACTAGGCTGAAAAGAGCCCTCTGGCCTTTAAGGGAGACAACTTAGTTTTCAGGCCCTGGGAAAGGGTGTTCGGATTTGAGGAAGAAGATTAAAACCTTGATGTTACAGTTTTTGATGTTCCTGGGTGGTACACAGCCAAGACTTTCACTGAAGTACCATTTCCTTTAGAATTCACTAACACTTCGTTCCTGCTGATTACTAGGTACTACTGCTGAATAAAATATTTATCTTTAAACATGCATGAGCATATTTAAATTCTCTCAGATGTGTTATTTGGCTATGTGGTTTCTATCAGTTTTTATTGCAATAACTGTCTACTTGGACTATGGCTATCTTTATAAAAACACATGCAAATGTATTCTGTTTCAGTGGGTTTTTTTTTTTTTTTAAACATATTTGCTTTAGTCGGTTCTGGGTGAAATGTAGCCACATTAATCACTTTTCCAGTCAATTTTCTGGGCGTGATTGTCTATCATGAACACTGATGCCAGCACATTTCTTTTTAGCTACTTTTTTCAGGATTAGCAGAATATTGCTGCATCTTCAGAACTGATAAGTTCTGACAAGATTCTTAATACATCGCATACCACATTCACAAGATAAAATCTCTGCCAAAAGTTTAAAATCACTTAAAATGTGTGTGTAAAGAGAAGTGCTTCATTAATTTTCCAAATCATTTTCCTGTGGAGTTGGAAATGTGTCTTAAACCCTTAGCTGTGTTTTATGCCGCTATGTATAGTACCTCTCAAAGATGAGAAATGCCAGGGCTGCTCAGTCTGGTAAGGGAATTCTTATACACTGTGGGTAAGAATGTAAATTGGTACACTTTGGTCTATAGCAGTGGTTCTCAACCTTCCTAATGCCGCGACCCTCTAATACAGTTCCTCATGTTGTGGTGACCCCCAACCACAAAATTATTTTCATTGCTACTTCATAACTGTAATTTTGCTACTGTTATGAATCATAACAAACATCTGATATGCAGGATGTATTTTCATTGTTACAAAGGGTCGCAACCCACAGGTTGAGAACCGCTGGTCTGTAGGGAAGGTAAGAGTTAATAAACACTATGTGTACTCTACTTTCAAGATGAGAAAAACCTTTAACCTGGCAATTTCAACTCTGAGAGTTCATCCTTGTTGTTCATCTCAGTACAACTGATAATTGCCAAAAACTTTGGAATAATGTGATTACTAGTATTAGGAGATTAAGTTATCTGGCTCGGAGCCTGTAGCTCAGCAGCTAGGGCAACCAGCCACATACACCAGAGCTAGCAGGTTCAAACCCAGCCCAGGCCTGCCAAACAACAATGACAACTACAACCGAAAAATAGCTGGGTGTTGTGGCAGACACCTGTAGTCCCATCTACTTGGGAGACTGAGGCAAGAGAATTACTTAAGCCCAAGAATTTGAGGTTGCTGTGAGCTGTGATACCATTGCACTCTACTGAGGGCAACATAGTACGACTCTATCTCAAACAAAAAAATAAAATTATGCCATATCCATGTCATGGAATTCTATGTAGCCATTAAAAGAGTTGTTAAATATGAATTCAGTGACTTAGGAAGCTGGTCCCAATACAACCATCTGTGGAATAATAGGATTTGTTTTACATTTTACATTTCTGTATACACACAGAAGGAATTTAGAAGAATGGGTACTAACACGGTTTATTTTAAAGAGATATTTGTTATTTTTTCTTGTCTGAATTTTCTAATTTTAATATAATACATATGTATTATTTTATAGTTATTTATTTAAATAATGGCTACAGAAGCTCCTTCACTAGCCACCCTACCTCTAGGCACATGGGCTCTGAACCAACCTGGCAGGAATGGGCCACGCTGAGGTGAATCTGATGACTCTTATCCCTCCAAAACCTCGTCAACCAAACTCAGCCATCCCCTGCCGCACGAGCAAGGATCCTGCTCACCAAAGTGTCCTGGACGCAGGGGGTCTCCACAAGCCTCCGGACTCCACTCTCCACGGTCACTCCCAGCCAGTTGAGCACTGCCCAACACCAGAGGTAGTCATAGCCTCCATGCCAGTAGCTCACAAAGGCAAACGTCATCGCGGTGGAAAACAGTGTCCCTAGCGGGCCGTGCTGGGACCCGCCTGCGGGAATGTACACGTACCTGAAGAAAGAAGAGGCTGTTAGGGGCCGTGGAGAGGGCTGCAAACACCACCACCCGCTTCTGGCTTACCGCTCCCAGCATGTGGCTACTCAGAGGCCACGGGCCACTCCTTGAAGTCTCTATCACACCAGGAGTTGGCAAAAACCCAAGTTTCAGCTCTTTGGGGATTTAAGTTAAATGAACACCCGGCTAAAGAACTGTCATTACAAAAGCAAAAGAGCACTTACTAGAGGGAAGGTGACAAGTAACGAACTTAACGTGTCTGGAAGAGATGTACCCAGTCTTGGACACCTAATCACAGAATGGCAACGGAAGCTTCTGGCCACACAGAGATACTCATCTCCGAGGCAGGTATGCATTTTGCAGCTCACACCACGATGTCGATGGTAAACCCGCTATTTCAACACAATTGCTAAGATCAGGCCCCTAAACCTCAGGATCTGGGTGCGGCAGAGGGGTGCCAAAGCCAATTCCCTCAGTTTTCCAGGCAAGTTGCCCAGAAGCAGTAGCAAACTTGCAAGTAAGAAAAAGAGTTCTGGGCTCACAGGGCAGGCAGACTACCAGCCAAAATGCACAGTCACCTCCTGGCTATGCTCTTCGCTGCCGAGACAGCTGCCAGAGTGCACAGAGACAGGACTGCGGTCTTCAATTAGTGTTTTCCTGCTTGAGTTGGACAAAACTCAGACCTTGGGTTGTTAGGACCTAGAGCACCCTCTTCCTGCAGCAGCCTTTTTAAGAAGCCCATAGGCTTTTGCTTACTGATTCTCGGTGCTTTTTTGTCCAACTCTCCTCCAGAAAAATGGAAAGAAATCATTTTCTGACTACAGCATGCTCCAAACATAACACTAGACACCTTACAAGTCATCTTTGTCTGATTCTTTGAAGCACCATATCTTTATACCCAGCTTCCCAACCAGTTCAGCATTTCTCCTGTTTCTATATTATTTTAATTTTTTAGAGGGAATTGTATTTTGAAAATCACTTTTGAATAGAACAATTTGTAGGTAAGCCAAAAAAATAAAAACACCTTATCAGTCAAATAAAGAAATATTTCCAGAGACTATGGGATTGTAATTATTTTTAAATGTCTCCTTGACAAAGATTTTCTCCTTTACTAAGCTTTAGTCAGGCTCCTCCAAGCCGGGATGTTGGTATGTCCTTTCTTTTCCAGGCCAGTTGTAGCAAGAATACTGCTAAGTCTATGTAGAGAGATTTCTCCCCATCCACATCTGGCCAAAGTCTTCATCACCATCATTAGTATTTCATCATGCTGGCCTACTGTAAGGTTTGTCCTATGCCCCAATGCTTCTACTTAATAACTTTCTTTTCTTTTTTTTGCTTTTGAGACAGAGTCTCACTGTATCACCCTTGGTAGAGTGCGGTGGCATCACAGCTCACAGCAACCTCAAACTCTTGGGCTTAAGCGATTCTCTTGCCCCTGCCTCCCAAGTAGCTGGGATCACAGGTACCCACCACACGCTCAGCCATTTTTGGGTTGCAGTTGCCATTGTTGTTTATCAGGCCTGGGCTGGGCTCAAACCACCAGCTTTGGTGTTTGTGGCTGGTGCCCTACTCACTGAGCTACGGGCACCAAGCCCTACTTAATAACTTTCTACCAGTCACGGCCCTCCTGCTCCTTGGCCGTATCCCACTTGTCCGTGCTGCATTCAGAATTAAGCCCAGTTCTATACTGAGGTCTCCTCTCTCCATTGCAATAGTTTCTGCATAAAATTTGCTTTTTCCACTTTATTGTCCAAGTCTGGTTTCTCTTTAATATTCTTCACTTTCAAATGCATTCCAGTTAAGATGATAAATTCTATGGCCACCTTACATAACAGCTTTTAGGGATGAGAAAACTGAAACTGAAACGTTAACCTGCCCAAGGTACAAGGCCAGGAAAAGGAAGAACCATAAAGCAAATGTGCATCTATGCACCAAAGTTAATGCCTTCCACAACACCTCTGGGTTGATTTCCAAAGTCCTCTATTTTTCAACCCAATTAGAAACAATCAAACTGGAAGAAGTATGACAATGTAGCCAATTAAGAAATAAGTAAAGCAAAGGGAATAATTTATCTTGTGTAAAAACAGGACCATCTTGACAATCAAATTAGCAAATAGGTATTAATCACAATAGATGAAGGGATTGTCCATCTGCTGTTGAACATTTATTTAGGTCTTCCAGGGATTCCTGGCATTATGGGAAACACAGAGACATTATTCCTGCCATAAGGACAAATACACCTGGTTGTGAAATGATAGCAAACAAGCCCCATCATTAAGCTACGTGATATGGTACAAAGTAGACCAGGTGGGGTTAAGGGTATGAGGTGGAAGGGGGTTAGCACAGACAAATAGAGTCTGGGAGGCTGAAGGACAAAACCCCCATCTTGGCAAGGCCTAGAAGATGAGTTTTGCTAAGATAGGGGAGAGAGTTGGGTGCTGCACCAAGGACACACGACAGGAGCTGGGCAATATGCCAGAGAAGCCTGATCACCCAGGGCACCACAGGTTTATTTGGTGTTCTTCTGCCCCCTAGCGGCTGTGTGGTTATTGGCGCAGAGACAAAGAATGTGTCACAATTTCCTGCTGCTTCCCACCTGCACAGAGGTAACCACTGTCCCCATCATGCAGCTGCCCTTCATGTTAGTTTCGAGTATGCGGATAAAAAAAAAAAAAATACGTATGTAAAATTGTATGTTAAAAAAATAAGTGATCGAACCAATTTCAGAAGGATGATAAATGACTGCTCTTTAAGGAAACCTTATAGAAAACTAGTTTAGAAAACAAGTTATTGAATACTTTCCTTGTTCAAACTAACTTCATGTTGAGTTTTATTGTATTTCAATATATGTAAGTGAACTTCACTGTGTATGTCAGAAAACTCAGCATAGAATAGAAACCTCTCATTCTTCACATCAGTGGTACTTGATATTAAACTCCAAAAAGGACATGTTTTCAAATTTGTCATAAGGAAGGACCTAGCCTCAAAATTCCATGCATGGCTATTTTAGGTATCTCTAGAATTTTGGCTCTGTTTTTTTGCCTTCGAAATGACAAGTCAACTAAATTGTCTGTGAATTCCTTTTCTTCCAGAAATTCACATATGGGTGGAGATCTCCAAGGATATGAGACTGCTTATTTCAAACCAAGAGAGGGAAGGTACAATCCCTTGCTTACTCTTAATTTCTGGAAGGCAGTCGGTGTGGTAAGGAGAGCAAATAAGATATTTTCTTTTACAAGTTCTACCAGTCCTACAATTAATAAAAACAGAAACATGTCTCTCTCTCTCTCTCTTTTTTTTTTTTTTTAGGAAAGCAATAGTATAAAACCACTTACTAAGGTCTGCTACACAGTAAATTGATTTCCCACTGGAAGGAAGGAATCGACACCATCTTCTCAGCAAAGCGAAACTAAAAGGATTCCTTCTTGTCAGTAACTGTGTCTGTCTGAGTCTTCACAGTGCCTGCCCCTGCCTGGCTGGTTTAGCGTGGTCCCTGTCTGTAGAGGATGCTATGTGAGATGGTTAAGATCTGTCTGCAACTACCTTCTTAATTTAAAAGCATCTCACAGAATCAACGCAACACAGCAAAACTCCAACTCCGGGGTTTAATCATTAAAACAACCCTGCAAGAACTAATGACCAGCCCTGAATTACAGGAGAGGTGAAATCTGAACCTAGTACATTGTGGTTTCAGAACCCCCAGGCCTATGTTCTATTGATATGTTTCTCCTATTTAACCAAATTTTCAAAGCCGTCTCCAGAGAAACATCTACTAGAATTTTATTACAAAAAAAAAAAAAAAATCCTTTCTAGGAAAGGAATCTTGCTCAAGAGAATAATGCTCATTATTTAGAGAGGAGTGGAGCCAATGAGCTCTGTGCCAAAAGGCCAGAGGTATAACTTCTACTATTAAGCAGACTAATAAGTTAGCTTCTGTCTCATAAGCAGAGGTGACACCTGCTTTCTTGACCAGGCTGACATCCTGCAGATGTGTATGTCAGAAGTGCCGCATAAGAAGTTAGTGGTTAGAAAATCAGCCAGGCACAGTGGTACATGCCTGTAGTCCCAGCTATTCGGGAGGCTGAGGCTGGAGAATCATTGGAGCCCGGGAGTTCAAGGCTGCAGTGAGATATAATCACACCACTGCACTCTAGGCCTGGGTGGTAGAGGGAGCCCCTGCCTCTTAAGAAGGAAAAAAAAACAACTGGTGGTCGGGGCGGTTTCTGAGTCGGGGTACATCACACAGGAAAAAGAAAATATCTGCTCAGAGGAAGGAAGGGTCAGAAGGAGGAAAGGGAAGAAAAACTACCTATCGGGTACAGAGCTTACTACTCCGGTGATGAGTACACTAAAACCCCAGAAATCACCACTATATATTCCATCCATGTAACCAAAAACAACTTGTACCCCTAAATCTGTCCAAAAAGAAAAAAATCTAGCTCCCTCCTATCCACTATGAAAAACAACTCAAGAACATGCCCTACAGTAGTAGACAGGTGGGGTGAGTTCCGGGTGGTGAACACATTAATCTTAAGCTCATAACACTTCCTCTGCCCAAGGAGGCTTAAGCTCCCTGGTTGCCACCTTATCACTGAACTCTTGGCGACAGTCTACTCCCAGACCTCATGAAGGTAAAAAGAGGATGCGCCTAAGACCCTAACAGACTTGGCTCTTACTGCCCGGCGCTGAGCTGAGGTGGGCTGGCGGGTGCCCATCTTCATTTTCCTACCACTCAGCAGGGCCAGGGCAGGCGGTGCTGCCGTCCTACTCCAGCTTTGCTTATCTTTCCACTGCTATTTCCCCTGTTCTCCACCTTAGCTCTCTAGGATTTTAGATCTCAGAGGATTTTTAGGATTTTAGAAAAATCCTAAAATCCTGACTAAGTAGGGTTTTCATACCTTTGGTTATACCATTTTTACATCTAGAAAACACTTCTCCATCCTCTGAATCCAACTCCTACTCAGTCTACAAAATCCAGTTGATTTTCCCCCTTCTCT